TAAAATTATGAATGAAAAAAGAGTAGTTGTGAATATCTGTAAGCCAAACAACAGCAGAAACATTCTCAGAACTGAAATTATAGGTGAAATGGAAGTCTAGTAACCAGAGGAGACTTTAATTTACCTCTCAATGCAAGACAGCAGTAGACTAAAAAATAAGTAAGAATCAGAAGATGTAACCATTAAGTTATTCCCTATAGGTACTTATTAAAGTTTATACCCTAATAATACAGAATATACATTATTTTAGAACATGTACAAAAATGGACTATCCAGCCACCAAAAACAACCCTCAAAATATTCCAAAAACTAAAACTTGTATACATGAAAATTTTTACTTATAATGAGATGAAACCAAAAATGAATACCAGCATAACAAAACAAAAAGTCCTTAACTCAGAGGGTGGGAAAGAAACTTCCTTGATGTGGTTTGACTGTCTCCCTATCCAAATCTCATCTTGATTTGTAATTCCCATAATTCCCATGTGTTGTGGGAGGGACCCTATGGGAGGTAATTGAATCAAAGGGGCAGTTGCCACCCTCCCCCCCGCTGCCATGCTGCTGTTCTCATGATATTGAGTGAGTTTTCATGAGATCTGATGGTTTTATATGGGACTTTTCCCTCTTTTGCTAGGCACTTCTCTTGCCTGCCATCATGTAAAACAAGCCTTTGCTCCTGCTTCACCTTCCACCATGACTGTGAGGCCTTACCAGCCATGTGGAACTGTGAATCCATTAAGTTTCTTTTTTTAGATAAATTACTGAGTCTTGGGTATGTCTTTATTAGCAGCGTAAGAACAGACTAATGAACTCCTCTTAACTATTTAAGGGAAAATACCACACACAATTGCAGAATTTCTAGGAAATAATAATGAGAAAACTACATGTCAAACTCTGGGGGATATAAGGAAAAAGAATAAGGAGATGTTCAGAAAAAATTCATAGCCATAAATGCTTATGTCAGCAAAAAATACAAATACATGTGGTTTTAAAAAGTTTTAAAATGTGCAGCAGAACACACTGTAGGCAATAAAGATAAATGGTGAAATTGGTGAGCTAAAAAAGGTAACAGAAGCAGAACTAAAAAAAAATATAAAAGGATTGGTTCATTGTAGAACAACTAATTAAGGCACATCTAGACTAATCAAGGGGAAAAAAAGAAAAGCACAAATATACAAAATAATAGAATAAATAAAAGCAGAGAGAATTAAAACCATCCTAAAAGCATTTTGCATAACTTTATGCAAATTCAAAATCTGAAAGAAATAAATATTTTTTCCAAGAAAAAGCAATTTATTAAAGGTTACCCTGAAGAGATAGAAAGTTTAAGCAGCCTAATCAACAGAAAGACACTTTGTCTCAAAAAATATATAAAAAATGAAAGCCATCAAACAACTTCCTTCCTCATCAAATCATCAAGCTTAGATAATACATCAGAAGTGAAGCTACCAAATCTTTAACTATTTCAGAGCATAGAAAAAGAAGGAAATCTTTCAAATTATTTTTGAGGTCTGCATAACAGTGACTCCAAAATCTGAAAACAATGGCACATAAAATAGATTAATTTCACTCATAAGCACTAATACAAAATTCTTGAGTAAAATGTCAGCAGCATTATCCAGCAGCACAACAAAATACATCATAATCAGTGTAATTTATTTTAGAAAACACAAGGATAGTTTACTAACAGGTAATGATAATACTAGTATAACAGGAGAGAACACATCATTCCATAAATGCTAAAAAGGTATTTAATAAAATTCAGTAATTGTTTTTTATTTCTAAAAATATTTAAAATATAGGAATAGTTGGGTATTAAACATGCTTAACAGGGAAACTTACTTCCCCCATCATAAGGGGAACACAAGACAGTTCTGTTAAAGTTAGGAACAAGACCAGGGTAACCACTATTCCCACACTACTATCTAACCTTGTTTAGGGTGATTAGTCAAAGCAATTAGAAAGAGAAATTATGCATATGAAAATGAATAAAGATGAGCTAAAACTATTACCATTTACAGAGCATATGACTGTGTTCCTAGAGAGGAAGGGAAACTAAAAAATTACCGTAATCAAGAGAATTCACTGTGGAATATGAAATTAATATCACCTTCATAATGTACAACTAACAATGAATTAGAAGGCATATTGAAGCCCCTGTTACAATAAACTAAAAAGAAAAAGATTACAAAATCTCAAAATACGTTTAATAAGAAATTATGCCCAGTCTACAGTATTTGAAAATACTCCTGAAGAACATGAAAGCAAACTCAAACAAATGGGAAGCACACTATGTTCTTGGATAAAACACCCAGCATTATGACGATATCAATTCTAAAATTTATTTACAAATTTAATATGATTTCAATAAAGATTAAAATAGAGTTTATTTGTTTTATTTACTGAAATGAGATAGTTTGATTTTATAGGTAAAACCAACTAGTTTTACCAGGAAAATTGAGAAAAGAAAGTAACGGAAAGAACCAGCCCTAGCAGATATAAAAATACTATAAAGATTCAATAATCAAAACAGTAATTAAGACATATATTAGGAAAACTACAAATGGATCAAAAATTTATGGATAAACAATAAAGCCATGATTCTTTCAAGCCTTTGTGTAGGGAAGCTCTTTCTAACTGATTTGAAATTCCAGAAGCCACAAAAGAACTGATAAATTCAGCTACAACTAGAGAACTATTTGTGCATGTCAAAATCAAACACCTATGACAAACTGGGAAATGTATTTGGAATTCATGTCATAGAGAAAACAGCTCATTTCCCTGATATATAAAGAACTCCTAAAGAGGAAAAATAGCCCAATAGAGAAGTTGGCAAAAGACATGAACAGATAGCTCACCAAAAAAGAAATACAAATGGCCCTTAAATATGTGAAAAGATGCTCAACTACTTCCATAATAAAAAAAAGCCAATTAAAACAAAAAGATACTGCCTTTTTCCTATAAGAATGGCAAAATTCAGAAGTTGAACAACACTGCATTGGTGAGGCAGTGGAGACACAGGACATTTTACATATTGCTAGTAGGTGTGCAATGAGGTAAAAGCTGTTTAGAAAGCAAGTTGGCAAGATCTTTCAAAACAACACACATGTACCTTTTGATCCAGGAATCCAACTTCTGGGTATTTATTCTACAGATATATCTATACACATACAAAATGACATATGCACAAGGTTATTTATTGTAGCATCATTTGAAAGCGCAAAATGTTTAAAAGAACCCAAATATCCATCTATGCAAGAGTGGTTAAATGAATTATTACCTACAAAGGAAGAGTATGCAGTTGTAAAAAAAGGATAAGGAAAGCTCTCTATATATCAACATGGAAAGATCTTCAGGATATATTTGTTTAGTGTTTTTTTTAAAGGCATAGTTATATATATATGTATACATATATATGTGTGTGTATATATATATATATGTATACATACTATCTTTTGTGCAATAAAGGGGGAATAAAAATATGTATTTTCATTTGCTCATAACTGCAAAGGGCATGCTGAATGCATCCACAATAGACTAATAAAAATGGTTACCTATGAGGATCGTGAAAAAAATGTGATGAATGGTTAAGGGGTGGGAATAAAAATTATCTGTCTATATTTTCTTATGTAGTTTTGATTTTTGAGCTGTATGTATGTGTTATCTTTAAAAATATATTAAACAGAAAGTAAGGAATTATAGTCCAATGTCACTTTTGAATCCTGATGCCAAATTAAATATTGAATTATTATGGAATAACTGTATAGCTTTTATTACAGAAATGCAAGAATGTTTCAGCATTGGGAAATGTATTAACACATTAGAAGGCCAAAGAAGTCAACAAACAACACAGCAATCCCCAAACCAAAAAACAACCAATATGGTGGTTCTAGATATTTGTTGATATCTAAAAGGCATTTGATTAAAGTAGACATTTGATCCTTATAAAAAAACTAATTAGGAATCACTGGATAATTCCTTAACATGAATAAAAAATATTTCAAACCAATAGCCAGCTGCCAACAGCGAAGACATTTCCAGGATAATCAGGAAGGAGAGAAGCTGCCTTCTATGACCACTTTTATTTAACAGTGTTCTGGAATTTCTGGTCAAGACTTTAAGAAAAGCGATTAAGAATTAAATCAGAAAACCGGAGATAAAATTGCCATGATATGTTGTTGATATGATTGAGTACATTGAAAAACAAAGAGAATTTAAAAATTATTGGGCCTAATAAGATGGGTGAGAAGGAGGTAGATAAGGAGAGCGAGATGGGACTGGAGTAAACTGTGCTCAGCAATACTTCCTCTGGACTAACAGGCTCCCACCAACAAATGATCAAACAACAAACTTTCATATTTCCAATTTCCAGGGGATTTCTACTTCGTTCTGCCCAAATTTGTTATAACTCCTATAACTAAGTTAATGTCAAGCTGAAAATGTAAAATTTCCCTCAATTTACCACAATATCCCCATCTACACTATTTCAAGTTGTTGCTCTGGTTTGGGCCAATACATTCAACCTGGTTTCTCTCTCATTAGAAAGAAAAGAGAAAAATGAAGGAGAATCCTGAATAAGTCCTCCTGACTTCAGAGGAGAAGAGAAGTGATTGTTTTGCATAAGAATTGTGACAAAGTGGAGCACAGAAAACTTTGCACTGGGCTCTACTTTAGTGAAACCATTGACTGGGAAGATGAAAAAGAGACACTTCAGGCAGAAAACTAGGGGAAGATGTGAAAAACAGACACTTCAGGAAGAAAACTAGCATGAACTAGGGGAAGATGTGTAATATCTTGGTGTGAGTAGGGACCTACCTACAGGGAGCTCAGTGTCACTGGGTATAAAGAGTAAGTCAAGAAGCAGGGGCCAGTGTAGAGATGGCTTTTAAAATCCAGACCAACCAAAGGACTTACATGTTATTTTATAAGAGATATAACCTATTGCAGGGTTTTAAGCAGGGTTGTAACATAAAAAATTCAGATTTATGTTGGACTTTTAATAATAGCTTCCATGGGAAATTCTTTTGTTTATATTCTTTGTTTCCATAGTCTTTGAGTAAAAATAGTTTTACTACTTCCAGAAAGTAAAAAAATAACAGCAATGGTGGACTCAAGCAATGTATGCTTAGAGTAGATGGCTGTGTTGGAACACAACAGACATCCATTAAACATTTGTTGCTTGAATTGACTGTTCCCACAGAACATATGAGTTAGCTGTCAGAATCAAACCCTTTGGAAGAAGAGTTCTCTTAAAAAATTAGCACCTGATTGGGCATTTTGATAAGGTAGAATGATCTTATAACACAGAATATGAGTCCCATCTATTTTCAGTTACCTTCATGTCCAAGTTCTTGGAAAGAGTTTCCAGGGCGGGCATGAATTCTTGAATGACTTTCTCAATTTGCCGGTACTCTTGCCTGATGAAGTGAATGTCTCCAGAAAGCTTCACAATGCTTGAATCACATCTAATGGCAAGATGGAAATTGGGGTGAGTTCAATACCTTTATAACATTTTTAGTACTGTAGTAGACACCTGCACATTCATTTGATGGCTGAAGTTCTACAGTCATTTGAAGAATGAGTTGGTAGATATGAGTTTATTCAGGAATCTCCTTTATTTTTCTCCTCTCTTTCTGATGAGGGAGAAACCAGGTTGAATTCATTGGCCCAAACCAGAATAGAAATTGAAATAGTTTAGATGGGGCTATTTTGGTAAATTGAGGGAAATTTTAACATTTTCAGCTTGATATTAGCTTAAGTCTTAGGAGTTATAACAAACTTTAATGTTTTGGAAATACAGGCTGCTGCCTATGGTTAGGCAAAATTAAAATGTGTTCCTCTTTTATATCACATTCTAAATCCACTTTCCTCTCTTTATCCTCTTTTCTTGGCCCCCAGACTATCAATTCCTCTTTGGCTAGAAAAGGTGCCCTGACAAACCAAAATCTTCCAATCCATCTTCTCCAGTTTTTCACCCTCTTAGCCTCAAACAAAACTCCTGTTCCTTAAATAGTCTCAGTCAGGCATTGTCATATTAGGACAAAACCAATTCACACTAACATATGAATGAAGCTTTGGTCATAAAGTTGCATGCTATAATTAAGGGAAGGAATTCTGGTCAGAAGGAGCTAGTGAGGTGAGCTGAAGATTAACTATCTTCCCAGCATGAAGCAAACACACAACCACATTCCACTGCCATCACCCATGACCTCTCTTGAGAGACAGCAGACAGCAAAGTGTATTAGTGGTCAGCTTCTGTATACTTTCATGTATGCATGAAGGATAGGTTGAAGAGCACTGAAAGACTTTATCTTTTGTATATCTGAGTTATCTGGGATCATTTTGATATTTGTCATTTTATAAAATAACTGTTTTGACTGTCATCAAATAATATTAGGAACTACATTTTAATATTATCATATGAAGTGCTATAAATATTGTTTGCTTCATGATGTCAACATTTTTAGTGTCCCAGAACGAATCTTTTTTCCTTAAAGTTTTTGGTGCTAAAGATTTGAGGCAAAGGTGAATCAAGATGGCAATTTTGCCTAAGCGTTCCTTTAAAAGGGTACTAAAGGTATTCCTTTAGCAACACCCTTAAAGTTGACTGTGGTGGGGGTAAAGAGGCTGCTGGGAGAAAAAAAATCAGGAATTAATTTGATCAAGAATGGGAGCAAAATGGTATGCACAAAATTACTGGTCAAAAGCTGTTTTACACCTTTGCATATACAAACTGTCATTGTCAGGATGGCACCTCTATTGTTGGTTAATTAGAATGTCCTGATGTAAGTCTATGTTAAGACCCCCAAAGACTACTCAGGAGTGGCTCCTGCTCCCACCACTTCGCGCCATCTCCCTTCCATCCTTCTCTTGTTTCCCATCTTCAGGGACATCAGGGCCTGTGCAGTAGAGGCTACTGGTTAAAAATGTAGTTTCTGGTATCAGATAGACTACACTTTGCATCCTGCTTCTGCCACTGGCTAGGTTTATGATCTGGGACAAGCTTCTTACTGCCTGCAAGTTTCACTTTTCCTCATCTGAAAAAAAGGGGTAATGATGCCATGTTGCACAATTTGTCTACCACACAACGACAGGGGTACCAGAAACACATGGTTGACAATGCAAATAGGGTCTTCTAGAGGGCTCATCCTTCAAAACTGTTAAGTGGCTGTCCGGAATAGTATTACATTGCGAGGTTATTTAGGAATGGAAGGAGGTGATGCATGCAAAGCATTTAGCCAGTGCCTGACACAGGGGGGAGCACCCACACAAGATTAGCAGCTACGATTTATTTACTCATCTCGAGAGTCGCCGCCTGTTCATTCTCACCTCCCCTAACCACCCACCAGCTTAATCCCACATGTTGAAGTCAAGGATTGATTCACAGCTTTTCCAAGCTGCACTTTATATTCCAAAAGGAGTTCCTCTGCCTACTCCTTCTTTAGAATGATTTTATTGTTTCTGTTAAAATAGTGCATGATCATTACAAAAAAATTTCATGCCTAAAAGAACAAAGAAGAAAGTTAACATCTTTCCAAATCCCTCTTAAAAATAACATTGTTAATATTTGATTATATTCTGTTCATAATTATACATATATACTTAGAATATGTGTGTATATATACACAGAGATAGGAAGAAAGAAATATAATTTAGAATACTGGGATTATATTATATGCATCAACTTTAAAATGTTACATTTAATTTTACTTTAACTTAGGAAAATGTAACTTCTTAGGCTAATTTCTTAGTGAGAAATGAAATTATTGAATTTCAGATATGTATTGCTTCACTATGAGAGAGATTTTTCTCTAAAAAAAGGAAACTATAAAAAGCTATTATAGATTGGAATTGTTATACTTTTCACAACTACCATCTCAATGCCAACTTTAGATTTACTAACTTTAGACATTGCCTGTTGGCCATAAGCCAAAAAATGAGAAAATAAATAAGTTTATATACTTGTGCCTTCAACATTTTAAAATGTAATTTGCTAATTTTAAAATGTTAAATTTTACATTTGCATGGTGTTCTGTCACTAGAATGCCTATGGTTATTTAATGTTCACTCTATATGTGCCTTATATGTTCATTGATAATCCTTTCAAACCATGATTTCTTTTCTAAAATCCTTATTTTGATTAATTCCATGGTTGGCCAGATTTTGTCATACAGATTTTAAAAGCAGGGCTCAGGAGCGCTAGAGTTCTCAAGTTCTTGAGTGCTTGAGAATGCCCAATTTCTCTTGTAATTGAAAAGTAACTTAGTTAAGATAACATTTTTTTTCTTTCTTTTAGAACAATCAATCCATTCTTTTCTGGTATTGGTTGAGGTGGACAAGTCTGAGGTGATGACACTTCTTTCTTTTTTTTTAATGAGACTTGCTTTGTCTACCTGGATGCTGTGTGAGTCTTTATCCTTGCTGTTCAGCAACTTCAACCAGGATATCTTGGTTTCCTTGTTCTTATATAATTTTTTCCATGGTCATAGTTTTTGCTTTTAATCTATAGACTCAAATCTCTATTTCAAGAAAGCTTTCTTCTCTTATATTCACGAATTTTTTTTTTGAAGAATTTCTGTTTCTTCTTTAGGGCCTTGTATTATTTCTATGTTGGATGAGTTTTCCTTGTCTATCATAAAACAATTTTTCTACAATCGTTTTTATGTTGAAAAGTATCTATTTTCATTTGGTGTGGTTTGCTCATGTTTTTACTTTTTATAGCTTGTTATTTTTGGTTGTATTTGTTCTATTTTAGGAGTTTCTAAAGTATATTAATCTTCATAATAGCTTAACTTTTTCTTTTACTTTATCCATGAGCAATTCCAGTTTATCTATCTCCTTTTGTTATCTGATAGTCTCTTTTGAGGGAAAGCTTTTTATACCTTATTTTAAAAATTATTGTTTATTTTACCAAAGAAAAACATACCTGTAATTTGAAAGCTAGTCATAACTAAAAAGCTAATAATAAACTACAGTGGTTTCTGGCCCTTTCTCTCACTGCCTCTCTTTGTTCCTCTCCGTAGAGGCGAGGGCCTGAAGCCTTTTGAGAATTCTGTTGCATAGAGTCAGGTTGTTCTCAGCTTATCTTACAACTTTAAAACTGGCCTTAATTCTGCTAAGGCAGCTTTCATGTTTCCATCTGCTTTCTAGGTTCCAAGACTTCTGTGCTGATATCCCCTATCCTTATGGGTTTATATTTTAAAGAGAAAACCTTTTTACTGTAGATTCAGTGAGGCTTTTGGAAGGGCCAGATTACATGTGACTGTTCACAAGTAACCTTTTCTTAAAAAAAAATAAAATTCTTTTTCTTTTATTCTTAATTTCTTTGAAACTGGGAGAACTTTTGGTTTGAACTCTTCCCATACTTTTCTGGTAATTCCTTCATGAAATGTATTTGCTAGTCTTTTGACTATGTTTTTATCTATCTATTATCTGTCTGTCGATCTGTCATCTGTCTGTCTTCTGTTTATCTGGGGATGATAGTGGAAGTGATTCACATGCATGACTGCATTCTAACGATCACTATTACGTATTTGAATGTTTCTGGCCACCTGGAGAGGATCAGTGAGTGTGTTTGGTGGCAGGTAGATTGCATCCTCTATTCAGGCTTGCAGTATCAAATCTCTCTCCCTTCTCAGTCTGTTTCTCTCAGGTATAAGTAGGCAAGGAGGGAGGTTCTAGATGACCGAAATGATAAAGAACATGGTTGCGTCTTTGGCTATACCTCCCAGCTGTTCAGTGTTGCTGACCTGAATCTCTAAGGGGACATCATGTCCCCTCTCTCTGATGACCCACCCGAGCCTCTGGGTAATGCTGCTCTATTCCATTTTGCCAATGTCTCTCAAAATTATGACTGTTGACTAGTGGGAAATTATGTTTCAAATATGAGAAGGACTGCATCAGTCCAAATGTCACAATATTTGGTAAGTGTGCTCCGTTTGTGGTTAGTGGCTGCAGCAGCTTCCATACTATATTAATAAGTTGGAGTTTTTGTTTTCCTTCTTTTATTTTTCACTGACATTGAATTGTCTCAAGTAAGAGAGTGGAATAAAATGTCTTTATTCTGCTCTATATAACCAGGCATGTCTCCTCTTAAATTTTCAAAAGTTGATATTCAAGCAATTCTCCTGCCTCAGCCTCCTGAGCAGCTGGGATTACAGGTATGTGCCACCATGCCCAGCTAATTTTTTTTTTTGTATTTTTTTTTAGTAGAGACAGGGTTTCACCATGTTGGCCAAGCTGCTCTCGAACTCCTGACCTTGTAATCTACCCACCTTGGTCTCCCAGAGTGCTGTGATTACAGGTGTGAGCCATTGTGCCTAGCCTGTTTCTTTAAAGAACATGATTTTGCTTTTAATCACAAATTAACAAAATTTATCTTTTTCCCCTCCCACATGTAGGTTTGTTCTGGAGTCCTAAAGAGCCACATGAGGCTAGAGAGTTGGCTTCTGACTGCTGCTGCGGATTGTAAGTCACATCCATCCCTATGGTGCCCTTTGCATGCTCACCTTTTCCTTTGCTGCACTTGACACTAGTCTATCAAATAAAGGACAGGATGTAAAAAGCAGGATGGCAACTTTGAGAAACTCATCTCATTGGGAGCACTTACCTTTAAACTGCAATGTGTTGCCGTAGAAAATAAGGTGTAAAATTCAAATCTCACTGTAGTTATTAAATATTGAGCTTGATTTATGAAGCAGTAAAATGTTTGCTAACAATTATATTAAAACAATCAACTTAATTTTACTTATGCCAAAATGCTCATTGGAATTGAGGTCCCTCTATGTGGAAAGACAGTAATCAATCTGCCTTAGCTTGTCCATTAGTCATTTGCCTGGCAAAAGCACAGAAAAGAAACAGGAGAGGGTGAATATAAGTCTCATGGCTGTTAGCCAAATTCTGTCTCAGATTGCCAAATAGATTTCAGAAATTTTCCATAAAAGGGAGACATTTCAAGGAAAAATAAGACCTTGTCCTGAAATCACTGCTTATGACTGAAGGGGAAGGTAAGCAAAAAGCAACAAGAGCGAAAAGAATTGCACATCTTCTTGATGTAATTTCATTGATCTCTTAGTTTCTTTCAGATCCATTTGCTATTTTGTCTTACAAATAAAACAGGATTTACAAAAGTAAAATAATATGTTTGTAAGTGGTTTGCAGAAAGAAATAGTTGGTAGGAGTGTTATCAGCATACCACCAAATTGAACCAAATTATATTTCATTTAAAACATGTTTGAAATTAGCCAAGCATGGTGGCATGCACCAGTAATCCCTGCTGCTCAGGAGGCTGAGGCACGATAATTGTCTGAACCCGGGAGGCAGAGGTTGCAGTGAGCCAAGATTGCGCCACTGCACTCCAGCCAGGGTGACAGAGCGAGACTCTGTCTCAAAAGAGAAACAAACAAAGAAGCCATGTTTGGTTTTATCTTCTTGCAAAATCTTAGCACACCTAAATAGGTTGTGGGTTTGCTGGTATTTATCTTGTTTTATAACTTACCCAAATATTATAAAACTTCTTTGGTATTGATCAAATATTAAATAATGAAACATACATTTACATATATATTTTTTCTATTTATATATTTATATATAATATAAATTCACCTGTTTATTCTCTGGACTGGCCGATGGCTATTTTTTTCTCTGATGAGAGTTTTTCAACCATACGTATTATTTCCTAGACGGCATCTTTTATTTTTAACAGGAATGAAACCACACTCCAGAACTACAAAGTCTTTCTCAAAGCCATTAAGTCATTTATGTTGTGGGCTAACCAGAAACCTGGGCATCCTTGATTCCTCCTTCCTTCTTCCCCTTTGAACTCCATGCCCATTCCAGTTCATAGCCTGATGACTTCTCATATACAACATGGTGGAAGCCAAACACATTATTACTCCCTGTTTCTCTTTCCACTTCCTTGTTATAACTGCTCTTTGTTTCAAATTTTCTTCTCTGTGGAATAAAATTAGTATTCAACCAGTCTCCAAGCCCAGAAACTTTGGTTGTTATCCTTGACCTCCACCTGCTTAATTCATCTTCCGTGTTTATTGATCCTGTAGATTCTATTTCCCTAGTGTCTATGTCGTCTGTCCCCTCCTTTGGGCTTTTATGACTAGTGCCTTGGTTTAGGCCCTGCTACTTCTCACCTGGATTGATGCAATAGCCTTCCTCTGATCTCCATGTCCTCTTTGGTATCCTAGCAATTCAGCTAAAACTAGAATGTCACAAAATATGATATGCCATTCCCTTACTTAAAATCTCCCCATGGTCATTTATAACCTTCTACATAAAGTTCAAACTCTACCTTAGCCTACAAGACCCCTCGTATTCCAGGTCTGGACTGCTTCTCTGGCTTCATCTCCCAACTTTCTCAAAATTCCTACTGCAAAATACCGTAACTAAAATACCTTTCTCACAGGTAGCCCATGAATATGTCACAGTGATCCTTCCCTCAGTTCTTTTGCACATACTATTCTTCCAGGTAAAGTGTCTTTCTCACCCTCCCTTGTCTAGTTAACTGTTATAAATCCTTCAAAACTCAGCTCAAGTGTCACCTCCCCAGGGAAGCTTGTCCTCCACATGGGCCTGATTTGGACATTTCCATTGCATCCCAGACTTTTAGTACAGCATTCACTTAATTGGCTATTGACATGGCTTGTTTTCCCTGGTAGACTGTGAACAACTATAGGAAGACCACATTGATGAATTCTAACACACTACCTGGCATAAGATGAGTGCTTAATACATTTTTGTCAAATTGAATGGGTAAATACCCTACGAGAGCTTTGTCTTAGGTAGTAATTATCTAATTCTTATTTGGTCATGAACACGTCCAAGTGGATCAACCAGATGGAGATGTGAGTGTTATAGGAGAGAGGAATGAGGTACTGGCAGAAGATGTAGAGAGGGAAAGGTGTCCACAGTCAGCCATTCACAAGTCATCTTTGATGCATCTGCCAGAGTGGTCCTGCCATTCTTAACACCTACACATGTTTGCTGAACTGCAGGCCATTAATTCTTTTGATTTAGAAATCTTGTACAAAAGAGCTATTCAGAACTTTATCCATTTGGCAGTAAATCGCTTTTGTTAGACTCTTTAATATAATTCTTGTATATTTTCAATGTTTTACTCATTAGCATTTGACACATAAGGGGATTTTGTACATGGTTGTGAAGGTGTGTCTATGTATGGATGTTAGTATTTGCACAGTTGAGGCTGTAAAGACAGAACTCTGGTCACTTCCATTGGAACCAAGCTGTGTAAGGGGTCTTTATATAAACTTTGTTTGTTTTTTTTTTTTTTTTTGAGACGGAGTTTCGCTGTTGTTGCCCAGACTGGAGTGCAATGGCACGATCTCGGCTCACCGCAACCTCCGCCTCCTGGGTTCAAGCAATTCTCCTGCCTCAGCCTCCCGAGTAGCTGGGACTACAGGCACGCACCATCATGCCCAGCTAATTTTTGTATTTTTAGTAGAGACGGGGTTTCACCTTGTTGACCAAGATGGTCTCAATCTCTTGACCTCGTGATCCACCTGCCTCGGCCTCCCAAAGTGATGGGATTATAGGCGTGAGCCACCGCGCCCGGCCGCCCCTAAACTTTGAATCTCACAGGTAGCATGAGGCATTCGAAGTTCTATGGTACATTTTCTTAATTGCCATCTCGTTAGTTTAGCTTAATGTGTAAACAGTATCTTTTTTCTACAACATGGAACTTGTTTGGAAATGGGAATTCACTGGCCAAGAATTGACTGTTTAACATTAGTCAATAGGCTTCTACTCACCTGGCTACTCTTCCTCGAAGATCTCCAATTCCTTGTAGGTGTTTGAGGTTTATCTCCTGTACTGCAAAATTAGCTCCTGTGGCCGCCTGATCTCGAGCTCTTATTTGGTCTTCTAAAATCTGTCATTTTGAATTAAATATTCCATTAATTTCCCATCACACATAATAAGGAAACATCATTTAAAGCAGGGGTTACCTAATTGAATGCATTTTGTACTTAGGCTGATGGTGTAAATTAATGAGAGGGTCCTATCTCAGAGAGAAGTGTTCAGTGCTAATTTATCTGAGGGAAGCTGCGTGGTTTGATTCTAGCTGATTATTGCCAGGTGGGAAAGATGCACAATAGTGTTTTAAAGACAGCTAGAAATCCAGATTTTATATGAAATTGCTCAAATTAACAATATTGGCATATTATTCAAGATCTTTTATAAACACTATACGGGCCAAACAGAGCATATTTATTGTGTTAATATGGTCATGAGTTGCCATTGGCCATCATTGATATAAAAGCTTTTCACAAAAATGCATTTCACAATTGGTGCCATAAGTTTATAAAAGGATTTTTTTCAGTATGGCGTCAGGCAAGATTTTTAATGGATTGAATCAGAACCACAATGAAGTTAATACAAAGCAAGCAAATCTGAATCAATCTGTTTCATACACATTGAAAAAGAGTTTATCTAGATTTCTTAGAGAATATGAGAGATTTATGCCTCATTTGTGTCCAGATTTTGACCATGAGTATTGTTAGTCACGTCTTCATTGTGTTTTGGCATTCTGGAAATTGAGCTGACTTTCCTGTACTACTAGGCTGGTGGTCCTGAGAACCGTGGTTTTTAATTTTTTGGTACCCATTTATAAGTATTGATTTAAAAATCAAAAAAATTCTGTTTGTCCATAGAAAACATTATATTATACTTGACATTTAAATAAATTCCAGTGTAAAGTGAAAACATATAAGAAATTGGTATTTATTAAGAAAAAAGTGAGAGTTCTGTGTAGGCCTTTGGAAAACACAAATCTGTTACTTGGGGAGACATTTCAGCTTAAGTATTATGTTTGACAAAGTCCTAAATTATGTTTAAACTATGGTTATGAATTTTACTAGGAAATGAAGAATTTTTATAGCAAATAAATTATAGGAATTTTAAAGGCCACAGATAGACTCTTGCTCATTTTTTAACTGGTAGACTGAGACAACCCAAGGACAAAAAAGCCTTAATTGAAGATGTAAAAATGTCGGAAACACAAACTAGAGTTTGGCTTTGTCTTTTTGAGTGTTTGCAGGCATTTTGTTTTCTGTTTTGGTAAAGATAGTGATGAAAGGAAACTTACTCTACTATATACTAAAATATTTTCTAAAATAAGGATAAGTAAATCAGTGTTGTAAAGGTATGTAGCTAACTGTAATGTAATGAAGATCTTGGTAAGCATAAGAAAGGAATATGTTCTACATGTGACTCACAAATCAATGGGGGAGTAATTTCACAAGTGGGTTGGGTCTCTAGTTACTTAGAAAATAATTTTTTGTAAAGCAATGTCTGCCTAGTTTATTGTTCAGTTAACTTTAGTGACCTTTTAAAAGTTGGCATTGTAAATAAAACAATCTGCAAAAAAATAAATAAATAAATAAAAAATAAAAATAATTAACTTAGAGCTTGGATCCAAGACGGCAGATTAGACACAACTCCAGCTTACAACACCCAGCAAAAGAGATGCAGAAACCCAGAGGTCTCCTAGCTCCAACTGAGGGACCACAACTCCTCAACAACATGGGATCACAACTTGACTGAGAAGGAGTGCGAAGAATTGACGGAAACAGGATTCAGAAGGTGGATAATAACAAATTTTTCAGAGCTAAAGGAACACATTCTAACTCAATGCAAAGAAACCAAAAACCTTGAAAAAAGGTTAGACGAAATGCTAACTAGAATAACCAGTTTAGAGAAGAACATAAACGACTTGATGGAGTTGAAGAACACAGCATGAGAACTATGTGAAGCAAACACAAGTTTTAATAGCCGAATGGATCAAGCAGAAGAAAGGATATCAGAGATTGAAGATCAACTCATTGAAATAAAAAGAGAAGGCAATACAAGAGAAAAAAGAGTGAAAAGAAATGAATAAAGCCTCCAAGAAATGTGGGGTTATGTGAGAAAACCTAAACTATGCTTGATAGGTGTACCTGAGTATGACGGGGAGAATGAATCCAAGCTGGAAAACACACTCCAGGATATTATCCAGGAGAACTTCCCAAGCCTAGCAAGGCAGTCCAAATTTCAACTTCAAGAAATACAGAGAACTCCACAAATATATGCTTCAAGAAGAGCAACCCCAAGACACATAATTGTCAGATTCACCAGGGTCAAAATGAAGGAAAAAATGCTAAGGGCAGCCAGAGAGAAAGGTCAGGTCACCCACAGAGGGAAGCCAATCAAACTCACAGCAGATCTCTTGACAGAAACTCTGCAAGCCAGAAGACAGTGGAGGCCAATATTCAACGTCCTTAAAAAAAAGAACTTTCAACCCAGGATCTCATATCCAGCCAAACTAAGCTTCATAAGTGAAGGAGAAATAAAATCCATTATGGACAAGCAATTATTGAGAGATTTTGTCACCACTAGACCTGCCCTACAAGAGCTCCAGAAAGAAACAGTGAGCATCAAAAGGAACAAGTACCAGTCACTGCAAAAGCAAACCAGTTGGCAAAGACCAAAAATGCAATGAAGAAAATGAGTCAACTAATGAGAAAGAAAACCAACTAGTAACAAAATGGCAGGATCAAATTCACACATAACAATATTAACAACATTGAATGTAAATGGCCTAAATGCCCCAATCAAATGACACAGACTGGCAAACTGGATAAAAATTCAGAACCCGTCAGTGTGCTGTATTCAAGAAACCCATCCCACATACAAAGACACACATAGACTCAAAATAAAGGGATGGAAGAAGACTTACCAAGCAAATGTAGAACAAAAAAAAAAGCAGGGGTTGCAATCCTAGTCTCTGATAAAATGGACTTCAAACCAACAAAGACCAAAAGAGACAAAGAAGGACATTACATAATGGTAAAAGGATCAATCCAACAGGAAGAGCTAACTATCCTAAATATATATGCCCCCAACACAGGAGCACCCAGATACATAAAGCAAATTCTTAACGACCTAAAATGAGATTTAGACTCCTGCACAATAATAGTGGGAGACTTCAATACTCCACTGTCAATATTAGATCAATGAGACAGAAAATTAACAAGGATATCCAGGACTTGAATGCAGAGCTGGACCAAGTGGATCTAATAGACGTATGCAGAATGCTCCACCCCAAATCCACAGAATATACATTTTTCTCAGCACTACATTGCACTTACTCTAAAATTGACCACATCATTGGAAGCAAATCACTCTTCAGCAAATGCAAAAGAACAGAAATTATAACAGTCTATCAGATCACAGCACAATCAGACTAGAACTCAGGATCAAGAAACACACTCAAACCCACACAACCACTTGGAAACTGAACAACTTGCTTCTTAATGTTGACTGGATAAACAATGAAATGAAGGCAGAAATAAAGATGTTCTTTGAAACCAACCAGGATGAAGACACAACTTACTAGAATCTCTGGGACACCTTCAAAGCAGTATCGAGAGGGAAATTTATAGCAATAAATGCCCACCGGAGAAGAGAGGAAAGATCTAAAATTGACACCCTATCATCAAAATTGAAAGAACTAGAGGAGCAAGATCAAAAAAACTCAAAAGCTAGCAGAAGACAAGAGATAACTAAGATCAAAGCAGAACTGAAGGAGATAGAGACACAAAAAACCCTTCAAAAAATCAATAAACCCAGGAGCTGTTTTTTTGAAAAGATCAACAAAATAGACAGACCGCTAGCCAGATTAATAAAAAAGAAAAGGGAGAAGAATCAAATAGATGCAATAAAAAGAGATAAAGGGGATATCACCACTGATCCCACAGAAATAAATACAAACTACCATCAGCGATTACTACAAACAGCTCTACCCAGATAAACCAGTAAACCAGGAAGAAATGGATAAATTCCTAGACACTTGTACTCTATCAAAACTAAACCAGGAGGAAGCTGGAACCCTGAATAGACCAATAACAAGGGCTGAAGTAGAGGCAGCAATCAATAGCCTAGCAACCAAAAAAAGTCCAGGCTCAGTTGGGTTCACGGCCGAATTCTACCAGATGTACAAAGAGGAGCTGGTTCCACTCCTTCTGAAACTGTATCAAACAATACAAAAGGAGGAAATCCTCCCTAACTCATTTTATGAGACCAATATCATCCTGATACCAAAACCAGACAGAGACTCAACTAAAAAAGAAAACTTCAGGCCAATATCCATGATTAACATTGATGCAAAAATCTTCAATACAATACTGGCAAACAGATTGCAACAGCACATCAAGAAGCTTATCCATCACGACCAAGTAGGCTTCATCCCAGGGATGCAAGGCTGGTTCAACATACACAAATCCATAAATGTAATCCATCACATAAATGGAACCAAAGGCAAAAACCACATGATTATCTCAAAAGATGCAGAGAAGGCCTTCGATAAAATTCAATAGCCCTTGATGCTAAAAACTCTTAATAAACTAGGTATTGATGGAATGTATCATAAAATGATAAAAGCTATATATGACAAACCTACAGCCAACATCATACTGAATGGGCAAAAGTTGGAAGAATTCCCTTTGAAATCAGGCACTAGACAAGGATGCCCTCTCTCACCACTCCTATTCAACATAGTATTGGAAGTTCTAGCCACAGCAATCGGGCAAGAAAAAGAAATAAAGTGTATTCGATTAGGAAAAGGGGAAGTCAAATTGTCTCTATTTGCTACAAGACCCCATCGTCTCAGCCCAAAATCTTCTCAAACTGAGAAGCAACTTCAGCAAAGTCTCAGGACACAAAACCAATGTGCAAAAATCACTAGCATTCCTATATACCAATAACAGACAAACAGAGAGCCAAATCAAGAGCGAACACCCATTCACAATTGCTACAAAGAGAATAAAATACCTAGGAATACAACTAACAAAGGATGTAAAGGACCTCTTCAAGGAGAACTACAAACCACTGCTC